CAACATTCAGGCATTCTTTCTGCCTACTTACATCCATACAGTGATTCCCTTAAAAGTGATGACGGGGAGCGCCTGGGGTTTAGTCAGTTAAGTGTCTGCCTTCAGCTCAGATCGTGATCCCTGGGTCTTGGGATAGAGCCCAGTGTCAGGGAGCCTGCCTCTCCCTCTCCCTTAGTCCCTCCCCCACCCCACTCATTATCTCTCACACACAAATAAACAAAAATTTTTTTTAAAAAAAGTGACGATGAATAAAGAGAAACAAGTTTCCAATCCTTTAACTACCAACACATGCATTTGGGTCACTTATGGGTGAAAAACATTTCCATGCTGTTCTTAAAGAGTCTCCATAATATAATTCTATCTTTTAAATCTCCCCCTTGCAGAGATTAGACTCAACTCTCATAAACAAAAAAAATGCTTGGGGCATCTTTACTGATTGAATGACACTACTTATCCATTTTGGGGGTAACTACTAACAATCTTAATAATTTTATAAGCAGAAAATCCTGCTTCATGTCTAACTTGACTGATTTCTTTTTTTTTTCCCCCAACTCAGCATAGTGTGATGAGTGCTTAGCCATGCCAGATGGACAGATCATGAGTAGGCCACACTGGGCTAGAAACATAGAAGCCATATCTGGCAGACTTTGTCCAAAGTTCAAGATTTCAGACATGGCAACACAAGTCACCTGGGACTTGAAGGGAGTGCTGCTCACCTGATCTGAAACAGTCTGGATAGCAAACTGTTGGGTACCGCTAATATGCACCAGGGAATTAGTTGCCATAGAAACATTCAAAATGATCATCCCCAAATCCCAGCAACCAGGAAACAGACACGTCAGGAAGGTGGATAGTGTAGGTTCCCATGGATATTACATCTCACTTTTAATGACATCATATGAGCCTAAGTCCTGTTTCCCTCTATAATTAGAGCTAATAAATATCTTCAAGTGGATATTTATGGCAGACTTTGGAAATATTAATCTGTTATTACTAGTGTTATATTGCTCTGAATTTGAATATGGAAAACAGAGCCAAAGCCTTGCTTATCTCAAAACGCCTATGTAGCAAAAAATGAGTCCCTTGGGCTTGCTGATGATGTCTGGCTGGTGTCTGGCTAGCAACATGAGACTGCTGACCTGTTTTAATGTTTCAAACCGCTTCCATTTTATCACTTGGAAAGTTTTTCAATTATTCCAACCCTGCCACAGAGGAAAGAGCATGCAATTTGGAGTCAAAAGTATCAGATCAAAACGCCAAGTCTGACACTTCATGACTGTGGCCGATTAGATTACTTTCCAAAAATAGTCGCTCCCTCCCTTGCCACTGCCTCCCTGAGAGAATTGGATTTCCCTGCCACCTTGACTTTGAGCTCGGCCACGTGACTTGTTTTGGCCAGTGGGAAGTTGGCAGACGTGGCTCTTGCACCTCTGTCCTGGCTAGCCCCCTGGTCTGAGGAAGAAGGGCTGTGTGAGACCAGAGCCAGAATCAGCCTGCTGTTTACAGCCATCCAGCCAACCCAGCCAGGATCGGCCAACCTCAGCTGACCCCTCGACACATAAGAGAGAATATCCGACTACTGTTTTAAGTTTTGGGTGGTTTGTAATACAACCATGCCTGACTGACGCATTGACAAAGACCTGGTTTCAGTCAACATGGGGATAATGATATCAACATCACAATGTAATCAAAATGACATCATGCTATTATCATTTTACCTGCTTAAAAACAAAGTTGCCCCCACTCTCGCCTTGGCTTCCCCAACATTGTATGTGGTGCCAATTTAGCTAAACTGGGACTATAGGACTTCCCAGAGTTCCCTTCCCTGTATGGTTCTAAGCTATCACTGACCACCAGAGAAAGATTTGTGAAGCAGCACACATATTCTTATGCTCTGAAGGTTGGAACAGGGAACCAGGAAGAGTGGGTGCTCACACACATTATTGTTGACCTACTAGCTTGCCTTGTTCTAGGCCGACTGGTTGTGCAACTCCACAGGGAAGGGCACCAGCCTCCCCTGGAAGTCATCCACAGCATCAGGGTTGGAGGTGGTGAAAGGCAGATGTGGGTTCCAGTTGTACTATTCTCTTGTTCATATCAAGCCTTCTTTTCCAACTACCAGATTAGCTGACCTATAGCTACTTTAGGCTCAACATCAGGTAGAGGTAATGGCCTTGCCTATGCCTCTACCAGCTTTCACGACTAGGTGGAAGTCCAATCCTTTAACAAATCCCTCATTCTCTATCACTCATGGTTCTTCTGTTTCTTTGGATTGAACCTTGACACATCATGGCTGAGTCCATTGTTGTCTTAACATGTAAATTCAGGCAAGTTCCCCAGACCACAATCTTGAGTCACTTCCAATTGAGCAAGAAATATGTAAGATTAAACTATTGAACCCTTACTATGTGCAAACACTCTGCTACCTACCTTAAAGTACTGTTTCATTTAATCTCATTAAGTGATTCACATCCCTGATCCAGGCTGGTTCACTCTTGCTATTACCACCACTTGATAGTTCAGAGATACCTACTAGCTACAATAATATCTCCAGTTCTGCCATTTGGAATTGCAGACTGGGACCCAGGGCCCTCTGGGGTAAACCTGGATGGAACCTGGATGGTATGTGAGGCCCTCACAGAAAGAGTCAGGACCACTGTTAGTGCCATTGAGGGTTTATTTCCCCCTCTTCTCCCTCAATCTTGGCATTAATCTTTATCCAAGGGTTCAACACTCAACCCTATCCAAGAACTCAGGTCCCTTCTAAGAATGAAGTCTACCCCCAAAATCTTTGCTTAGTGACTGGACCCTGCTTCTGTGATCTAGTCTCAGATGGGAACTACTTGCCTTGTCCCAAGGGTTGACCCACTGAAGTAGCACCTGTAGGTCTTACCAGGATGTCTCACTGCTTAGTAGACATTTATCTCTATTTGGGAACCACTTTGTATTGAACACCTACCCCTATCAAACATCCCTTGTTAGACTTCCTTAGATGCATTTCCCACATTTTGTGAGCTAGGGAATAGTATCTTTAACTGTGATTTCTTATTCACGTGTCCTTTGTTTTAGATCCTTAAGAAGGAATAATTTGTAAAATGGCTTCCCAGTCAAAAATGTAATCATGAGCAATTTGCTTTGTAGGAAGGAGGAAATGGCAGGCATCCTCAAATGGAGTTTGAGTAATCCTAATTATGTATGTCAGCAGAAGCTGTCATTTTTGTAAGATCTGTAATTAGCAGCCAGCGTGTGCTGGGAAAAATGTGATTGTCTGTTTAAACAGGGTGCAGGGCAGAGACTGCCCAGAGTGGGGCTCTCCTGCTGTGTTCATTAGCCCAGCCCCAGCTGGTCACCTGCTAAGGCTAACTGCATGCCTGAATATAAGGTGTGGAGTTAACCAAGCCCACAGGCCTTTTCCACAGGCAAAGCAGGTGTGACCACTGAAAAAAGTTGGATCCTCTGTTCTTTGTGATTATGAATTTTCTGTTTTTCTAGACCAGTGGTTCTCAGCTTTGGCTGCACCCTAGAATTACCACAGAGACTCTAAAAATCCTGGCACCCGAGCTGCATCCAGACCAATTAAGTCAGTTTCTCTAAGGCATCAGTTTTAAAGTTCCTCAGATGATTCCAGTGTGCTGCCAAGTTTGAACACCTGTTCTAGACCAGTGGTTCTCAAATGTTAGCTGCATCAGAATCACTTGCAGTGCTTGTGAAAGCCCGCCCCCAGATTCATTAAGTGCAGGGGGAGGGTGCCCTATAATTTGCACTCCTCATATTTATTCTAAGAATGCCGCTGATACTCAAAACATTGAATTCCTTTTAGGATTTAAAGTTAACTTTTTAAAAAAATATATTTTATTTATTCATGAGAGACACGCAGGCAGAGGTAGAAGTGGGCTCCATGCAGGCAGCCCGACGTGGGACTCAATCCCAGATCTCCAGGATCACGCCCTGGGCTGAAGGTGGCGCTAAACCGCTGAGCCACCAGGCTGCCCTTGAAGTTAACTTTTATTATTATTATTTATTATTATTTATTTTTTAAAGATCATTTACTTATTTATTCATGAGAGACACACAAACACACAGAGGCAGAGACACAGGCAGAGGGAGAAGCAGGCTCCATGCAGGGAGCCCGACCTGGGACTCGATTCCAGGTCTCCAGGATCAGGCCCTGGGCTGAAGGCGGTGCCAAACCGCTGAGCCACCTGGGCTGCCCGAAACTAACTTTTATTTTGCACACATGACAGCCATTGTGCTAAATGTTTTACTCACTAGCTCACTTAATCATTTTCACAAGGCTGCTTCATTCCTACCCTCAGGTCTCAGAAAAAACACCCGACCTGAGATGCCTTTTGCCTGCCCTTTATCAGGCACCTGCAGCAGTTACTGTCCCATCACTTAGTGTGTTTCCTTCTGGGCCCTAACCACAGCCTGTAATCTAATCTCTTTTCTCCCACTTACATGTGGACACCCTGCCCTGTGTCTAACGTTGACAGGTACTCTACACACTTCCTGAATGAATGAATCCACAAAGTAACCACAGGAGAGGTACTATTATGGTCTGTATTTCACAGACTAGGACGTAGATACAAAAGATTCAGTAATTTGCCCAAGATCATTAGTGGAGGAAGGCAGGCTCAGACTGTATCCTGACCATAGCTGGGCTTTCAAACCACTGCGAGAATTGTCAGCCTTAAATAAAATAGCAATCTTCTTTCTCAGCAAAAACTTACTCATCTAAGAATGTGAACTATTTTTGCCTTGGTGCCACTTGACTCAAAGCTTTCTTCCCAGAAAAAATAAAAATCCAGAACCAAAACCCATGTGGTCAAACTGTAGAAACACTGGCAATTTCTTTTGCATTTCAAAACTCCACTGTTCATATCAGAAACCTACTTGCAATTTCCCAAAGCAGGTTAAGGTTCTACCTCATATAAAATCACATCAAAACCTTTTTATACAAAATGTTGGTATTTAGGGGAAGAAAACTACATGAAAACAAATGGATTTGAATTATGACTTTATTTAGCATGTCAATAATTTATTCTGGTAATAAATTAGTATGTACAGCAATCAAAAGTGTTGGGTGCTTTCCAAGAAAACAGCTTCTGAATGTGTACACTAAAATATATGTAGAATCATTCAAATAGGCAACTTTATTTTCAAACTCAGAAGTGTGGGAACATGAAGATACTGAAGAAGCATGGAGTCTCTTTCTCTAATAGTTCATGATTTAGTTTTGAGTCTTAATGTAAAGGTTTTAATCACCATTTCAGCTCCTGCAAGCTACAAAGCCTGAAATTATAATACTGACAGTTTATACAAAGTTGGTAAGAGACAGAGAGCCTGGATTACAGATCAGTTCTCAGAGGTCTGAAATGTCTGGTAAGGTACAAAAGGCACATAATACACACAGAACTCTACTCGTATCTGAAAGATCCTGGTTTTACTTTCTGCTAAACATAGGATTAAACCCTGTTCTTTTGTGGTTAACAAATTTAGTAACTAAGTTGCTTTAAAAACATCACTCCCACACTACAGATTATCCCTGATTGCCAGTGCACTTTGATTTCATTTCTCCTGGTATGTTTAGACTTGGGTAACTTTTATTCCTTCTATGTTCACAGGACATCTACCTCAAAGGTGCCTGTTCCTGTTTTAAATTCACCATCAGCTGAAGGAGCTAATGTCTGTATCCATAAAACCATCATAATAAGCATGGAACAGTTCATTCCTCTGTTCAGTTCATTCCCATTAGTTGGCACATACCATGCTCTCTTCATCTGAGCTGCCACTGGCTCCAATCTACCAGTGGATTCTTGTGGGGGATCAGCGTCCTCAAATAGAAATTAGACTGCTCATTCCATGAAGAATATGCCATATAACATCATATAATCTACCCCGCACTTTGGCATACAATTTTTGGTCACTTATCAGGTCGCAGGCTAATGGCTGCCCATAGCCATGCTGCTGGCAGGTTTAACGAAAAAAAAAAAAAAAAAAAAAAAGACCAGTTGTTTTAACTTAAACCCCCAGTGTGTGCACAACACATTTATCAACCCAGTAATACAATAGTCACATTCTGGCAAGCTATTTTTTCTAACTGCAGGAACCGTTCCGAAAGCCTACCAGACATCAGTGAGTTTTTAAAAATTTTATAAACACGTAACAAAATTGTGATATGAAAGAAATTTCTGAATTTTTATGTGATTCTAATTTCTTGCTACTGTACTGCAGCAAAGGAAGATTGATAACCTATCTTTATAAATTTCTTTTTCTCCAGGGCAACATTTCTCTGAGTGCATGTCTCGCTCAGTTACAGCTTATATCTTTTATCTTACACTTGTTAGATGTGTCCCCAGGGACATTCTTATTTAGACTTAGGCAGCTCTTCTTCAAGTTCATCCTCAGGAGGTGCAAGAGTTGTTGTAGCTTTACCTTTTACAGGCAGTGACTTGATTTTGAGGTAAGGCTGAAAGCATTGCTGCCAGCCATGAAGCCTTGACACAGACCCCTCTCTCGAATGCAATTTCATCAGCCTTATCTAAAGACAAACGGACAGACAAGATCCAGATACACAAACATTATCTGCTTTGACCTGGCAAAACCATCCGAGCATTCAATTTACTAAGTTGGCAAGTTTTTCTCTTCTGATTCTGCTTCCAATTTCACTTCCTTTGGCTGCTTTTCTTTTTATCTTGTCCCAATTTTCGAGGAATATGCAGAATATTGATAAGAAAACTCCTGATTCTTTGACCATTTCACTTTTTGACTTTTCTTTCCTACTAACTTTTAGCTCTGGAAAAATTGTGAGCTCAGTAGATTTTCTCTGTAATACCATAACCAGAACTCAATGTGGGAAGTATAGTGGAAATGACATGTCAAGCAGAACATGAACGTTCTAATGAATCGAAGGCTAGGCAGACTGGCTTGGTACGGGACCTGAAAGTGCAGTGTGGATAAAGCAACTCATTTGCTTAAGGTAGAACAGCAAAGTTGAAAGGGCTTTTAATAATCTTAATAACTAAGCCAAAAATATAATCCTTTTTTAAAATTAAGGAATCCTAATGACTTTGAGGTAGAAGATGCTGTTACAAGAAAGAGATCAGGTGTAGGACATAAAAATAATGATACGGAAAGAAAACATGCACTGATCTGAAATGATCTTCCTTTAAATTCACGTGGAAAATTAAGAAAACTTCCAATTCAAAGTTCTAAGCACAAAATCCAGGCATGTCATGTCATGGACTTGCTTCTTTAATTGGAGATGAACTCAGCAGTCAATGGTAAGGATCCACACTCTAATGGAAGAGCCAACTACGGAATGGTTGTTTTCTGAAGAAGCCAGTAACTTCGCATTTGATTTTTCCAGCTTGGTTCATTCCTAAATGTTCGGGATTTGGATTCCTAAAGTCTTCTTCAGCATTTAACTAATTCTTTGTGGGTCGAAGGGGCAGGAACTGTTTCTCCACACATAAACTGATCCTAAGACAGAACAAGAAATTATATTAACCACTGAGTGTGTCATAAATGTATCAATATTACTTTAGTTTTGTTGCAAAATCAATCTAGCTGTTAGAGTTTTAAACAATTTTTTTTGTTTCAAAGTTTATTTAGTAATGTCTACACCTAACATAGGGCTCAAACTCATAATCCTGAGATCAAGAATCACATGCTCTTCCAACTGAGCCAGTCAGGCGCCCTGCAGTTGTTTGTTTTTCATTGCCATCACTTCACTCTTGTTCAAGGAGTCAATGGCAACACCAGAAATATAATCCTAAAAGTGCTTCAGTTTTTAGTTCTAAATTCACAATTTAAAGCATCTTATATTACAAAGCATGCCCACCTTCATTACAGAGCATCCACTTGTCAGAAATCACATTTACAATCATATATCACATCTTTTAAGTTTCTGTATTAATTACTACACTAAAACTTCTCCACTTCAATATTTGGTCATTCAAATATGTGTCTTCTTCAAGGTAAATACTTCTTCCAACTAAAAGGAATAGTTCTTTATGTTTCCCAACACAGATAATCTGGTGTCAGCTACATTGTAATTGAAGTTCAATCTCTGGTTATTTATCCTGGCTTCTGTCGGCTACCACAAGAAATCTCTGCCTTCCAGGTTACTGCTCACCTCCTGCAGTCTGATCCCCGGCAGGGTCAGGCCATATTGTGTCATCACTCTCTCACTCCCGCCCAGCACCTGGGAACTCCTCGCCTCTCCCCACCCCCCACAAGCCACCAAACTTGCTCTTTGGAATTTATGGTCTGTCATCAGCACACTGCTTCATATTCTCAACCTCTTTGCTGAGTTTGAGAATAGGTTATCCCCTAGGACATCGTTTCCCTTATAACCTCCAAAATGGTGGTCCTGCGTTCTCAGAGTGTTGGTACCACAGGCACTGGAGGAGGAACTGGTTCTCCCTTCTGCCACTGTTCTTCTCTCTCTAAAACCCACCAAACTTTGACTTTTATGTCATGAGATGTATCATCACTGCTCCCCTCTGTGTTTTCTGGACCTTGTTTAAAGTCCATGGTCAATGATCACAATCTCTCTTCTCTCCCTCCTAGTTAACAAAACGATAACCTTGGTTAAATCTAACTTCCTGTGTCTACATTCACTCATGTAGCTGAATGTCTACCACCTTAAACCCTCTACTGTTTTTTTTTTTTTTTTAAGATTTTATTTATTTAATCATGAGAGACACAGAGAAAGAGAGGCAGAGACACAGGCAGAGGGAGAAGCAGGCTCCATGCACAGAGCCCAATGTAGGACTTGGTCCTGGAACTCCAGGATCACGCCCTGAGCCAAAGGCAGACACTCAACTACTGAGCCACCCAGGTGTCCCTTAAACCCTCTCCTGATCCTCTATCACCACCGGCTACTGCCCCATGTCTCTGCTCCCCTTTGCAGCAAATTCCTAGAAGAAGTCTATACTTGCTGCTTCCTATTTTTCTCTTTTTCTCTCCAATAAGTTTTCCACCAATCAGGCTCTGTATTACTTCATCAAAACTGCTCTTACCACCATACAAATGGCTTCCCTGTTAAAGCCAATGGTTAACTTTCAATTATTCATCAGTGGCATCTGACAAGGTTGTTCACTTCCCCCACCTCTTCTCATCTGGCTTCCAGGATATGGCACTGGTGGTTTCCACCTCCTTCCTTTTTGGCCAGCTTTGCTGATTCCTCGTTTCCTTCCCTGACCTCTTAATATTGGGAGTGGCCTGAGCTCAGCCCTTTCTTTTGTCCATCTCCATCTATATTCACAGCTCTGGTGATCTCATCCGATCTCATGGCTCTAAAGCTATCCAAATGCTGATAACTCCCAAATTCATAGCACCAGCTGATCTCTCTCTTCAAACTCTAGACTTGCATATCCAATTGCTTTCTCACTTGCTCTCCATTTGTATCAAAAACAGACCTCCTAAACTTAGTATGTCCAACTCCTGCCCTCTATACCTGCAGACACACACCTGTCGATTGATGCATCCCCCCAGTTATGAAGGCCACAAATGTTGAAATCATTTTTGATTCCTCTCATATCCTATATTCAATCAGTAAAAATAAGCCTCATCCTTTAAAGTGTATTCAGATCCAAAGACTTCTCAGCAACTCCAGCACCGCAGCCTGGTGCAAGTCATCCATCTTTTCCTGTAGTTCCTCTAACAGCCTCCTAATCATTACCCTTGCTATATCCTAACTCCTATACTTACCTTGTCATAAATCACTTTTATGATGAGAGAGCAGCTAGGACACGTTGCCACGTCTTCCCCATTCTCCAAATCTTCCTACAACAAAATAAGAAACGTTATAGTATTGTCTTCCCTTTGCGATCTCCTCCTCCCAAACTCCTTCCACCCCTTGGGTCAAGCTCCGTTGTGGCTCACCTCCCTACAAGGTATGTGAGGGCCAAAAAGGGCTACCTAGTGAAATACCAACTCCATTTTCCCTGCCAAGTGATACTTTAAAAATACCCAGGCAGTGCAGCCCGAGCGGCCCAGCGGTTTAGCGCTGCCTTCAGCCCAGGGCGTGATCCTGGAGACCCAGGATCGAGTCCCGCGTCGGGCTCCCTGAGTGGAGCCTGCTTCTCCCTCTGCCTGTGCCTCTGCCTCTCTCTCACGAATAAATAAATAAAAATTTAAAAAAATACACAGGAAGAGGGGTGCCTCAGAGGCTCAAGCACTCAGTTCTGGTCATGATCTCCGAGTCCTGAAATCAGCCCCACCCTGGGGCTCAGCACCCGGCCTGCAGCCTGCTTAAGATTCTCTCTCCTTCTCCCTCTGCGCCTCTGCCAGATCCCCCACACCCCCATCCCCACCACTTGCGTACCTTCTCTCTCCCTCAAAAAACACAAGACCAGACCAGACCAGACCCGGGAAAGGTTAGCCAAACTTCATCCACTCAAAACCCCTGAGAAGACAAACACGTGACCCTTCTTCCTCCAAAAGTCTCTCAGGAAGTGGGACCCGAAGTGGCGGAGGATGGCAAGCCCGACGCTCCCCGCCACCCAACCCTTCCCACCACCCACCCTCCACCCCTCAGCCCGACTGAAGGCCAAGACGATGTGCCCACTGACATATCAAAGCATCAACTTTACGGGGACTTGGAGGCTGGGCAAGCAGTGCGTGGGCAGCTATGAGCCTCAAGGCGACGGAGCGGCGGAGGGAACCGGGCGGAGCAAACCCGCGCCTGCTCCCGCCAATCGCCGGGCGGGGCCTCCACGTTACCTTGGTAATGCAGAAGTTATCCCCACACGGGCAGGGGTAGAAATAGGTCTCCGAGTCTTCGTCATATTGGAAGTCCTCGATCTCCACCTCGTCATGAAACACAGCCATTGTCCCTGGGGCCAGCAGAGGTCGGTCGCCCCCGGGGACGGGCTCACGCCGCGGGCGCCGGTGCCAGCCCGGTGTGGTCAGCACGCACCGGCTCAGGAACGACCGCTTCCGGCGCAGAGACAATGACGCAACTCCGGCGTCGGAGGCCAACTAGGTGACCGGGTAGCGGTCACCATGGAGATGGCGGAGCTAGGGGGCGGAGACACTGAGTGCCGCAGCTCCCGGCTGGGTGGGGAGTTCGCCCTTCCGGTCGTCGGAGGGACTGGCCAATGAGGTGTGAGGACTAGCTCGCGCTGCTGTGACGTCACGGCGCCGGAAGCTCTCCAGCGAGGGCGGCGGAGTTCGGCCGGGTGGGCTAGCGGAGTCCCGGCGGCGGCGGCGGCGGTGGCGTTCTCCGTCGAGTCCCCCGAGGTCAGAGAGGCCTTGAGCGGACTCCGCGGAATCGGTGGCAGCGACCCGGCCCTCGACGTCCTTGGGGAGAAAGGGGCGCTCCTCTGGTTGGTCTGAGGAGGCGGCCGGAGCAGCCCTGCTTCTCGAACCTCCCCCTTCTGCCTCCTCCGTGACGGACGAAAAGTTCGCTTGGACTTTTGATTCGCCGAGTGACCTTGCGCCCCGGGCGACGCCTTGCTGGTGGTTTCTGGCTGCACTCGGCTCTTCAGGTAGATCCGCGGCTCTTGCTCACCCTGGGTTCCCTTCGGATGCCCTAAATTGTGTTGTCGAGAGGACCCAGACCGTGAGGGCATCCTGAGCTCTGCTCCTACGTTGGCCAAGCATGTGCCATCATTAATGACCATGATTCCTACAGCAGTAATAACATCGCCTTTTATTATTGGGAGTTTGCTGTAAATACTTGGTACTGCGCCAAGTATAATTCTTCCATCACCCCTGGGAAGTTAGATGTTATTCCGTATTATTAATCTTCACACTGAGATACGGAGAGTTGGTTATCTTGACTAAGATCCCCCATCTAGGAAACGAAGAGCGTCTCTGTCCCCAAAGCCTCGAAACAGATCGCTTAGTTTATTGGAACCACGGTTTCTCCTTTTTAAAAGGAATGGCATCAGCGGACAGAGTTATTGCCTTGAGTCCTCTATACATTGGAATGAAGGGCAAATAAAAAGGTAGTTTGTCTTGAAAGCAATCCTAATGCCTGTTTCAGTACAACCAGATTCCATGGAAGTATTGCTCCATCGCTACACGTGTATTCAAGTTTAGGTAGAGAAGAAATGCAGTGCAGTGAAAGAAGCACTTTTGAGAAATGGGTCTAGGGTCAGAATCTGACTGCTGGGAACTAGTTCTGGGAGCTGGATACATTCTTTGGGCCTTATTTTCTCTTCCGACTAAAAAAAGGGTTGGATTAGAGATGGTATACAAGATCATGTACAGATCTAACATTCTACTTTTGCGTGGAAATTAGGAGACTTACCTGGTTAGCAATTCTATGTACCATATTTCCTTTATATCTACATGGTATGTTTCCCATATTACCATGTATACACAATCCTATGCTTATTTATGTACACATACTCAAAGGTTTGCATGAAGTTACTGATTTTATGCATACTGAGGTGGAGCTCCACCTGATTTAGCTCTTCTAAGGCTTGAAAACCTAAAGGCAGAGGAGTCTTGGGAGAAAAATCAAGAAGTTGCGTTAAAAAAGTTTGTGGAAGGTTATCCCAAAAGCCTCACATTTTGCATAATTGAGCCCTACCTACCCAGCAGTTAGGCAACACTCATTAAACTTGTTGAGGCTTAACTGGGATGGTTTTGGTGTGAGTGGGCAGAGTCAAAAATGCCAGCAAAGCCCACCCAGCTCTGTGGCTGCTCCCTGTATCTTTGTAGGCACAGATACTTCCCAGGTAGTCTCTTGGAGTTGGGAGAACAAGGGAGAGCCTTCCAGGATCTATTCTGTAGTCCCAGTGAGCATTTTGAGACTGGGAACCATCTTTAGTTCTTAACAGTGCTTCTCAGCATAAGTACCTACAAATTAAAGATGAGCCATTTTTGAATGTATGGAAATGAGTGTGTTCATATTTGGTTCTTGGAAGTATAAATTAGTAGACCTTTTAGAAAGCAGTGTGGACCTAGCAAAAACAATTTGCTAGGGAATTTTAAAATTTGAGGTTAATAACCTGGACAGTTTACAGGAGTTGTCGGATTTTTTTTAATAATTTCTTTGTAATTTTCAACTTATTTTGAGTATGCATTTACCTGAAATGGAAAAAGAAAAACTAGTGAACCACTTATGAATAATAATGCACACTATGTGTCAGGCACTATATCAAATGTTTTATATGCATGATGTCATTAAAGCAGCCCAGTGAGATCATTAATTCCATTGTCAACATTGGAAAATCAGAGGCTAAAGAACCTGCAAAAGGAGGCAAAGCTGGTAAGTGATAGTAAATTGTGGTGAGAGCTCAAATCTGTCAGATGCCAGGACTTAGGCTCTTAATTAACTTTGATGTCATCTGTGATATAATGGTATTGAAGAAGAGCTGGATTAAACATACAGCCCTGAAGCTCTGCAGACTGCTGAGATTTTCTGTTAGAGCAGTGCTGGTTCCCTTGAAACCTAGATTTGGGAGTCTCCTTGGCTTTCCATACGGCTTTCATCCTGCCGTCTGTCGGCCATACATCTTGTCTTATCAGCCAGAGGTGATACCCTGTATGGTTCTGCTCAGTTTGAGTTTCTGCTGTGCTGAAACCATAACCACCCAACATTTTTTTTTTTACTCCACCCAACATTTTTAGTTAAAACATTACGTTGACTACTGAACTTTTCTTTTATTCATTAAACAGGATGGAAATGTTTTGTAATGAGACATTATTGGACCTTGAGAGTATGACCTAAGCAGATTCACTGGTTGCTATAGGATCATTTGCAATCACAAATTTATAATTAAAAGAAGTAAAGTCTATTGAAAGCACCATTAGGCTTTGAGCGAGGCTCTTCCTGGGCACAATGTGGGCTTCTGTGTCAAGAACATACCTGTCAGGGGATCCCGGGTGGCCCAGCGGTTTAGCTCCTGCCCAGGGCATGATCCTGGAGTCCCGGGATCGAGTCCTGCATCCAGCTCCCTGCATGGAGCCTGCTTCCCTCTGCCTGTGTCTCTGCCTCTCTCTCTGCGTCTCTCATGAATAAATAAATAAAATCTTAAAAAACAAACAAAAAAGAACATACCTGTCAGATATGTTCAGCGTATGGCAGTGTTTCTGGTGATAGCAAAAATGACCCACTGGTGGAAGCCGCTGGTTTCACAGCTCAGGTGATTATCCTGAACCATCCAGGCCAAGTCAGTGCTGGATATGCACTTGGGCTGGATTGTCAAACAGCTCACATTGCTTTCAAGTTTGCTGAGCTGAAGGAGAAGCTAGTTCTGGAAAAAAGCTGGAAGGTGGTCCCAAGTTCTTGAAGTCTGGTGATGCTATCATCGTTGATATGGTTCCTGGCCAGCCTGTATGTGTTGAGAGATTGTCTGATGACTCCTCTGAGCCATTTTGCTATTCATGCCATGAGACAGATGGTTCCTGTGGGTGTCATTCAAAGCAGTGGACGAGAAGGCAGCTGGAGCTGGCAAGGTCACCAAGTCTGCCCAGAAAGCTCAATTAATATTATTCCCAATATCTGCCACCCCAGTCTTACTTAGTGGTGGAAGAGTGGCCTCAGAACTGTTTGTGTCAATTGGCCCTTTAAGTTTAATAGTAAGAAGACTGATTAATGATAATGCATCATAAAACCCCCAGAAGGAAAGGAGAATGTTTTGTGGACCATTTGTGTGTGTGTGTGTGTGTGTGTGTGTGTGGCAGTTTTAAGTTATTAGTTTTTAAAATTAATACTGTTTAATGGAAACGACTTGATCAAAAATCTGTCACAAAAATTTTGAGACCCATTAAAACAAAAGTTTAATGAGAAAAAAATTTAATAAAATGTTAAAACTGCTGATTTGGAAAATAATAGTGGCCAAAATTCTCAGCATGTGATCGAATTTGGAACTTATAATTCTGAATAGAAACTGTTTTGTGAATGCTGTTGTGTATCAGGCTGATGAGAGTTACTGACAGCATCAAACCACTGCCCCTCTACCTGGCAGGGAGTAGAGGGCAGGGGTTAATGGGATTGCCTTGATTTTTAGTAACACTCTTTCTTGCCAGGCACTTGCACAGACATTTATTTGTTCCTCTCAGTGCTCGCTTCGGCAGCACATATACTAAATATTTGTTCCTCTCAGCAATCCAGTGAAGTGGTATTGGCATTCGAACTTTAAAATTTTAACAGATGACTGGCCCAAGATAAAACAGTAGGAAGGAATCAGACCTGAGCCCAGTTCATCTGATTTCACGTCAAGCACAATTTCAGGTCAAGCACTCCATAACTTGTGTACCACTAGGGTTCCCTTACCAAATACCAAATGCTGGGAACTCCTTTGCTTCTTCAGTGACACTTAGGTTCTAAATTAACAGGTGCCATGATAGTTTTGCAAATTTACTCTCTTTCAGTGTTTGAATGCTCTTGGAGGCATTCTTGGTTCTCTCTTTTTTTTTTTTTAACTACTCTCACATCTCATCCAATCTGTTCATCTACTTTTGCCATCTCATAGCTTTATCCTGCTCTCATGTTAGATTGGAGCCTTCTAAATAGGAACTCTTGCCCTTCTGTGATCCATTCTTAACGTAGTAACTTGAGTGGTCCTTTGATGTAAATGTAAATTAGGTCATTCGGTCCAGTGTAAATTAGATCATTTAATGTAAACCTTTCCTGGCTTATTGACACCCTTCAGTTGCTTCCTGTTGCCCTTAAAGGCCATACTCTTTCAGAAGTCTGATGTGATCTTGCACGTGTCTACCTGCTGGGCTAATCTCTTGTCACTGTCTCCTAGCTCCCTACACTCTAGTCCTACTGGCTGTGGCTCCTGTAACGCAGTAGGTTTGCTTCTGTGATTGGGCCTCTGCCTGATGGCTCTGCGCTTACTGTTCGCTTGGCCACCTCTTCCTTATCCTTCGGGTCTCAGCTCAGTTGGCTATTGAGAGAGACCTTTCCCGATATTCCCCCACTCATTTATTTTATCATACTCCCTGTAATCTATATTTGCCTCACTAATTATCTGCTTACTGTCGTTGACTG